GTTTGCCGTCCATCTGTCCTTGTTCAAACGTTTATGGATATCGTGTTACCGTAAGATGAGGCATTCATTAACTGAGGCTAAAAGTTCGAATCTTCTCTGACAAACATCATCCTCTGTCTAAGAATCGATGCACACTGCTTTTTAGAAATGTAGCCTGTCATCAACGTAACAGGGTCGAAAATGACGCAGGAATATCACTGCAAGCCAAGACAAAATATAGCAGAGTGTATTTACATTATGTGCGACGGCAAACATGAATAAAATGGCCCGCGACATTGACATTGACTTGATCTGCTTGAAACCTAGCGATAATCATGGAATGGTAGAGCTTTTCGTGCTTTATTGCAGCTCGTTCAGTAGAACGTTGGACTCACAATCGAAAGACTGTGGGCTTGAACCCCGTCTGAACGTAATTCAACTTTTACCTTTCTGAGGTTGACAGATGAGTACCACTTTGCTGAAAGGAAGTTAGAGACTAGAGGCCGTGTAGAATCAACTCAAAGCTGTAGATGTTGCCTTCGAAAACCATGGCACCTTTGCTTGATATTGAATAGCGATGGAGAATGCCACAATAGCGATAGAGAGTACGCTGCAACCATAAGCTAGATGAACGATCCTTCGATCACCAATGTTTACGAATCGTGTCGCAGACAGATTTTGCGACCATGTATCCAACGCCACACTCCTTGTCCTGCTGCCACATCATTCAGCTCTTTACTGTCCTGAAAAAAGGGCCTCTGCATTGGATGGGCATCTGATGAGACCCCCACCAGAAAATATTATCTCCATTACATTAAATGCCATCCCTATTCCTGCATGGCGCTGATAAAATAAGGACAAGTTAAAACCAGCACAGCTGACGATGAAGTCCTCTTTGGGCTGACAGTAAACAGGCACCAACGGTGGAAGAAAGATTTAACGAACTTGGTGACGGACATTGCGCATAACCGCCAAAGATGGAAAGCAACGATTCGGGAGGTAACAGAAGCAGGCTAAAATAGTCATGGCGGCAGCCATAACAACATAATAAACTGCATGAATAATCGATTTTAAAAATGGTAGCAGTGCCATGACACCGATACCTCAACGACTACGATACTTGCTTTTCATTTTCATGTTCTTAGACA